TATATATATATATATATATATTTCAATAACGACAACAAAATTAAAACTTAAAAAATGAAGTATATTCAAACTCTCATTATTAGCTTATTTTTATTTTAAACGTATTTTTTCAATTATATTTGATTATTTACAAATTAAGTTTTTATTGCTGTCACTATAAATAAAAGTCACAGTCCGTCGTGTTACTGTTGTGTTAACTAAAACAAAGGAAATGGTCTTCTCTCTTCCTTTTTTTGTTATACTTTTATTTTTTTTAAACTATATTCAATGTTTTTTATAAAAGATATTTTCTTACCTCCCTTTAAGTTTTGTAATATTAATTAAATATAATATTTAATTAGTAGAAATGTTATCGCTTTTTTCCCATCAATTGAACTACGTTATTATGATTATAGATATTTAATTTCATATAAATAAAATTAAAGCACCTTTGAGTTCATTTTATTTATCTTAAAATGGATATATAAAGAAAGTTAATCATAATGATTTCAAATTTTATTTAAAAGAAAAGGTAAAATAAAAACAAATAAATATAATTAAACATTAACAAGGAGTGCTTAGATATATCTTAAAAATAAGCAACAATGTTTACAAGAATTTGTCATTGGAAGTGCTTATAAACAATTTTTATTAAAATAAAAATTATAAAAGTATAATATGAATTACTTATAAGTGACGTAACACAGTAAAACTTATTTAAAATAGATAAGAGTTACTTAATTATAAAGTTTAGGGTTTAGGGTTTATCGTAAACTATTGTACATGTTGTTAAAAGTTGATCCATGATATGTTTTCATTTTTCTTAATAGTCATTATCATTTATCTATAATTATAATAACGTAATTAAATAAATAAAAATAAGCATGTTAAAGTTAGAAACTCCATTAGAGTTGGCCCCCATTGTGTGATTGTGATATGTTTTATCTTTCTTGTGAGACGAAATGATATATCTCTGATTATTCGGACTACAAGAAGACACATTCACTTCAGCCCACGACTCTTTGCTACATTCCTACTGTTTCATACGTTGACTCAATCCCACTAATAAATAGAAAAATTAAATAAATTTTCAATGTATTATATATTACATAATAAATGAAAAAAAATAAAAATAGATAAATACAAAAATTATGTTATATTAATTGTTGTTTATACATGTAACATTACTCTTTTTATAAGAAAAAATAAAATTATATCAGTATAATTTTTGTTAACTCACTATTTAATATTTTAATTGAATGATGCTTTCACAAACGTATTATTTGATTGAAAGATTCTTTTATCTAGATTATATATATAAAAATTTATATTAATTCAAAATTATAATATCTCATTCTTAAAAATTAAAATTGATATTATAATATTTTTTAATATATTAAAATATAAATAAATTTAATCATCTTATTATTTAATTTTAATAAGATTTGATATAAAAGTTTAAAACAATATAAAATTATAATTTAATGATTGAATTGATATAATTTATTTTCATTATAAAATTATTGACAACATATTAATTAATAAAAGTTATGCATCGAAAACATATATTATGTATTAGTCTATCTAAATAAACTTTTTCTGAAATTCATATAAGGAAGAAAAGAAAATGAAATAAACTTCTTTATAAATTAAAAAATTAATTTATAAAAATTAATTTATATTAGCTTTGTATTTTTTTTAATTTATATATATACTAGTTTCACCTCATGAATCTTTTTTTTTTATATAGTTTTTTTTCTTAATTTTTTTATTATCTACTTTTAGATAAGTATATCCAAACATGTTTAAATTAAGTCCTCACGAGAATATGATATCTAAAGATGAAACTAATTGATTTTCACCTTTTCAAAGTAAATAACTATATCAATTCGCACTTTTCAAATTAAACACAACTACTTTTTGGCAAAATCATAATTTCGATTCCTAGACTATGACCTCATACATTTTCACCTTGTGTCTTAATAATAGTTTTTCCATTAATGTAAGATTTGAAAGTATAAGGATTTTGAATCTCTTTATGCTGCCAATTAATTTTGACCTAAAGGGTGGAAACAAATTTGGTTGATATCCTACAATATCGCCAAAACTATGCTATTAATTCCCTATTTAGGTAGTTAATGGATGGGTTAGCAAACTAAAATAAATGCTCGAGTGCCTGTTTGATTACGCGTTGAGTCATTGTAACACACTAAAAAAAATCTGTGACTACAATTATTTAAATAAACATCATAATCATGTCAACAGTTGCAATAGTTTCTAAAACAACTTTCATTTGTGTTGAAATAACTCCAAATTATCAAGGCATGCAATGAAATGTATAAAATATATGACAGGATTCGTAGAGAATTCTTCCATAGTTTTAATTGTTAGATACAAGTTAAAAACATTTCTGAGTTTTTTTAATAGAAATAAAGAGTATTTTTTTAGTAAAAAAACTTTAAAAAATACTTCTAAGATCATTCAAATCGACTCTATAACTCAAATTCAATCCAAAATATAAAGTTTGCCAAGTTTTTTTGCCAGCCCAATCGAAATATTTTCTAAAGGATTCTAGCGCAAGACCTCACTGGCCAATGAAATTTCACAGAAGCATGCTAGCAAACCGAAACAAAGAATGAATTTGACAACATTCTCAAGAGTGCACTCCACAAGCTACATAATGCAGTGATAGTGCTTGCTGCCTAGGCCTTGAAGGAACCACACAAACTAACTTAGCAGCAAGTCACAATCAATTTCGGTAATGAGAGGTGAAATGTGAAAGTTTTAAAGAGATTCAACTAACCAAGCAATTTCATATACAAAGATTTTAAGAAACTTCTATCTTCCATCTTCCTTACAAGAGATTAAATTCAGAATACAATATTAATAAACTCTTTCCTTGGCATTTAAATTACAAGCATTATTAGACAGCAAATTATACTTAACCGGGAGAAGAAATGTCACTTTTAGTGATCAAAAGGCCAACCATAACTTGTTCCATTATTCTGCTCAGGAGTGGTTGAAGAGCTGCTTCCCCCAGTCTCAGTATAATGATTATTGTTCGAGCTAGACGAGCGGAATGGCCACAAAAATGATAGTGGATTTCTCCTTCCATGGTTGCTCTCCCTGGCCCTGGAACTATCATTGCTACTGCTACTGCTGTTGTTGCCGACATTCCTTCCTCCCCAACTTCGAGTGCCACGGGAATTAACCTGTCCTTGAGGTGGCAGCTCAACACGGCAAACAGGACATGAGTTATGCTGAACCAACCAAGGAACAATACAGTCAGAATGGTAAATATGGTTGCATGGCATCTCTCTGGCTTCAGTGCCCAATTCAAATTTTTCTTTGCAAACTGGACAGTGTGAATCTGAGCGTAGATGCGCCTGTGTTATCCTAACAATAGGCATTGCATCAATTGAAGATCGTGCAGCTGGGGGAGGACCGCGGCGGTCGTTCATGGTGAGTTGCTCGATAAGTTCTTCCAGTCCAGGACCCATAAAGTAGTCACCGAAGTCAACACGCCTAGGACCACCTCTTGGGCTGCCATTAGCCAAGGTGAATCCAGGAACTTGACCATGAAATATCAAATAAGGACCAGAACTAAAAACACCCCAACTCTGTTCAGGAGCAGGGAGAGAACCAGACCTCCCTCTAACATCAAAGTTTGAGTTCCTTCCAGCCATTCTATGCCTCATGAAATTATCAACAGCGTCCATAAGCCCAAACCTCTGGTCAGTGCCTCTCTGCCCCATAAAGGCATGTATAGCATCAAAAATGTCCGGCATTTGATGAAACTCTCCCGACTGTGACGAAAAGGGATGGTGTGGTGTGGTTCCTCGCAACTCATCAAGTTCTTGTATAAATCCTTGATCACAGTAGGGGCAAACAACATCTCTCCCATCAAGCACGATTGGCTGTCTGCATTCATAACACCAGTGTGTTGCTCCACTTGACATCTTTCTCTTTAACAAGATTATTAAATTGTACAATCTGCACCAAAATTCAACTTCTGTTCTGTGTCAAATACACGCGCATATATTCACAAGTGAAAAACAATTAATTAATCAAACGGTTCAAAAGAATAATCTTAAAGTTAAAATCAAAAACTGAAAAAGCCCCGAAGGTTCAATGCAAATTTGTTATGTACTATCCTAAATAGTAAACATGAATAACCTAGTGAGCAAAATATTATTAATGCTTTATTTTTAACTAGAGAGTCACTCATGCTGCCAAATAAGAGAGCTTCGTGATGATTATTTGAACACTTCTGGATCAAATTATGAAACACTAGAACAAATCTGATGAGAGAAATGTTCGCTACACATTCTTTGACACCTTTTGCAATCAACTGAAATTTATTGGGACTGAAGAATCGATGTTGGTCTCATCTTCTATTTGATGATTTTCACTATGACATGGTGATTTTCAATAATTTTTAACCAAAAGAAAATAGTGTAATAAAAATTGTGTTGCAAGCACTCCTAATTTCACAACAATTACAGATCACAAAATGCAAATCATCAATTGAATGAACCCATTAAACCAAGTGCTAGATATCAGTGTAAAATTACCCAACACAACAATTGCAATTATAGTTTGCTCTCAGACAAAAGCCATATTTCCGTCCATCAGCACAACATAAAACAGTTCAAGAATCAGGTCAAACACTTACGATATGGGGAACAAAATCTCTGCACATTCATCATAATAGACAAATTGAAATGAAATAATTTTTTTCCCAAATTTTTTTTTTTCAAAGATGAACAGGAGAATAACAACATTCATGAACGATGCAAAGAACACTTATCATGAATCAAAACCTCGGAGACAGTCAAAGCATAACTAAGCCCCAATTGAAAATTAAGAAGAAAACAAAGAACTTGAAATCAAAGCACAATTTTTTTCAAATGGGGTTTCAATTAAAAACGCCTATTTATTCCAATGGCCAAATTAAGCACAAAATCATACATAATAAACCGCCAAAAAAAATAGGGTATAAACAGAAAAAAAAAAAAAAATTTGCATGAGAGCAGAAAGACTAAGGATTCATCGGCGTGAACTAACCAAAAAAAAAAAAAAAAAAAAAAATTTGCATGAGAGCAGAAAGACTAAGGATTCATCGGCGTGAACTAACCAAAAAAAAAAAAAAAAAAAAAAATTTGCATGAGAGCAGAAAGACTAAGGATTCATCGGCGTGAACTAACCAAAAAAAAAAAAAAAAAAAAAAATTTGCATGAGAGCAGAAAGACTAAGGATTCATCGGCGTGAACTAACCAAAAAAAAAAAAAAAAAAAAAAAAAAAAAAACTGAAAAGCAAGAAGTGAGAGCTTAGTACCGTGAGATTCTGAACCTGGGAAGAGAGAAAGAGAGAGAGAGGAGAGAGAAGAAGACCTTTTCTGCTTCTGAGGTTTGTCCCACTGTGGAAAAAGTCCAGTGATTTTTTACCAATTCACAATAATGGCTCTTTCTTTTTATAATAAAATTTAAAGTAAATTTCGTAGTGTGAAAAAAAAAAAACTTAGAGCCACTTGTTTCGAATTATATTTTTTAATTTCGGAGAATATATGGAAGAAGATCTATCCTCATGTTTAATAAAAGGTTATAAGAATATAATTTTAAAAATATTTTATTTTAAAAAATGTAAATTTTAAAGTAATATTTGATACACCATAAATTTATTCATATATAAAAATCATGATTTTTAATAATGATAAAAATCTATTTAGTTGAGATTAATAAATGTTTATAAATATCATTTGAAATTAGTATATTTTTATTATATTAGATAAGTAAATAAAGATAACATAAAGATTTGTTTTTAATTCAGAAATCTATCTAAAAATCATTCTTTGAGAAACAATATTTTTAGGAATGTAATAACAAACAAAAACTAACAATTCTAACATTACATAAATGAGAAAGTAAATTTTTTTTTTTGCATATTAAACACTTCTTAATTGCCAACCAATCATATCCATGAGAATAACACTTCAGAGTATAAGATTCATCAAACAATGATGGATCAAGACTTTTGGTTAATGGGATCAATTTTTTTTTAAATAAATAAAAATTAATAATCATATATAAAAAATAAAACATATATATTTAAAACAATTATGAATGTGTTCAATATATGAAATCAAAAGTGTAAAATACAATATTTTAAATATATATTAATAATTTAATTAAAATGATGAAATATAATTGTCTGCTTCATTATAATATAATTTAATTAAAATCTTACATAATTTGATTTTAATAACTCAAATTAATCTAATAAGTTGATAATATAAATATATATTATTACTTAAATTTGCAACATATTAAAAATTTGAAATATTAATATAAAATATTAAAGAGGTGTGAGTAAACATAAATTTAAGAGAACATATGTTATTTTACTGAAGTTAATATGAAGAAAATTTGTATTAAATATTAATATCTACTTATCATCTTAATCCAAATACATTCAATAAGTATAATTTATATATTTTTTTATTTAAGAGTGTCAAAATCGAAAAAAGTAAAACTAGTTACAGTAATGCAGTAAATTGAAACAATTAAATATGATTGTTATTTTTGCGTTAAACAAAAATTTAATAATTTTTTATTAATAAATTTTACATTCTTTTTACTTAAATATTTTCTTATATTATAAATTTTGATGAATTTGTTTGTTTTAAAAAAATGGCAGTAATGCAGTAAAAAAATACAGTAATAAGTAAAAAATGAATTATATTAAATTTTAGTTTTAATTAAATATTAAATTGTATAAGTTGTACATTTAAAAGCCAACTCATTTAAATCATATAATAAAAAAAAAGTTATTATGTGAAGTTGTGAATGAATGTTAGTTCAGAAAAATTGATACAATATCGCATAAACAAATATTAATATCAATTAAATCAGAAATATATACTTAAAATAATATCAAATTACAAATAAAATAAGTATTGTAAATATCTTCTTCAAAAGTATCAACTGCAATTAATTTAAAAGTTATCATGTGAAATTATAAATAAAACCGTTTTAAAAAATGAAAAAATATTACATAAAAAACATTAGTCAAAATAAAATAAAATAAAATAAAAAATATTATAAATTATTTGAGGATTCGATCTTATTCTATTCACATGTTTGATAGATCTATTTTGAGACATATATGTTCGCAATTGAATATTTGATTACAACTTCAACACCATATCTTGTTAAAATGTATGTTTTTTTTTTTTAATTTTATAATTTAGTCAAACTAGATTATAAATTCTCTTAATGATTTTCAAACACACTTATATTCTGACCAATGATCACAACTTCTTCATCATATCTTATTAGCATATTTTTATTACAGCTTAAAATATATTTAAGTTAGTATCTTTTTATTGATGATATGCACTCAATTTATATTTATTTATTAATTCAACTCATTTTTTATTCCAAAAAATATATAATATAGTTATATGATATTAATTTATAATTCCATGATTCCATCTGACTTATCTTCTATATTAAATATATTATATAATATTTTAAAATATATATTTAGTTATTATATTGATAATATCACATTAGAATCAATAAATTATAAATCATTGTTCTCAATGATTTAATGATTAATCTATTTTTTAAAAATTTAACATTGATGAATCATGTCATATATGAAATATTAGAAGAAAAAAAAAGGAGGAAAAAGAAAAATTTTGAGTCATGGTACGATTTTCACTAATTAAGATTCTCAGCTACGGTCTTGAACCTTATTGTTAATCACTATGTGAAATAGGGTAAAAGGAATAATTTTAGTAGAAAAAGATGAGAAAGAAAATTTAGTTTTCATAGGATTTATTTCAAACTTTTTTTTTATAGTTTTTTTAAAACCTGAACTTATAAAATTTATATCTTAAGAAAAATCTTATATACCTTTTTTTAAGCTAAACAAAAATAATTCTAACCTATTTCATAGGCCATTTTTACTTTCAAGATCCTTTTGATCACTAGAGTTATCAACAATAATTAACAACTAAACAATACAAATCATACAATTAAACATATAATTAAATCAATACATCAAAATCAATCATGTTACAATTTTCAATAATGACTTCTTGTATAAGACTAAAATATAAAGATAGTGGTCAAGCAAAGCTATTTCTCCCTAAAAGTGATGGCTATAAGATTCAAAATTATGACATTAGAGATAACTTTTGTCTAAAATCATAATTTAAGTACTTATTTTGTTTTAATTACTTTGAAAGAGAAGCTCACTTTTGTTATATAATTTTTTTTTGCTAATGTTATGAGATAATTTAAAATAAAAAAGTAATCGTGTAAAATATCAAAATACACTATTTTCACCGTTATAAATCACTGTGAGATTACTTGGTTGTAATAGGAAATCATATGTATTTTATTAATATTTTATAACAGTTGTTTCTGAATGAATTTTATTTTTTTATATCCAAGTATAAAGTGAATATTTAGATACATTTAAAATAACATTATAATTAAAAATATTAACATCATGTTTTTTATATTTTCTTTTTAACCTTACGTTATTATGTGAATTTTATGTTAATCTCATTGATAAATAATGAGCTCGGGTTATTTAACAAAATCAACATGAAATGCCATTTAGTTTTTTTTTTTTTAAATAATTATGTCAAAAAATAATTTACTGACATATTTCCCTTAAACTTGACTATTTTTATGAAAAAATAATATACATGCACTAACAAAATTTACATTGTTAACCAATTAGAGATGGTCATTTTGTTAATTTTTGTAACAAATTAATTTAAAATAATATCTAACATGATTTGTAAATAGTTGACATTTTAATATTTAGATTTTAAACTCATTTTTCATTAAAAGAAATTAAAATTAATTTAAAACATGTGCCATGTATTGAGTGAGATTATAGAAGTCACTACTCACAAGTAAATGAAATATGAATGGATCCACCAACATGGGAAGGACCATTGTATAGATAGCACGACAATGTGATGGTGTCCTATAATTGCATTCGTCCCATTTGTTTAAGCCTCACAACTAACTTTATGTCACCCATAAATGTGACTCACGACTTTTGATTTCGACATTTCTTTGACCCGCAACTAGCATTTTTTTTTTTAATCTTAACTAATGTTTTTCAATACATTCTAATGTTAGTAGTGGTTAAATTAATTGACTTTTTTTTTTAATTTGAATAAAAAATTGGTAGGTAGAATATTCTATTTTGGGGGATTATAATAAAAGCGATATTAGGTCTACATTCAAATAGTATATATAATAAACACAATAATATTTAATATAATTATTAATTACACATATTACCAAAATAATATTGGATCTAAGTTTTATCTTTCAAATGCTAAGCTTTTTACTTGGATTTGATTTTCAAATTTTATCTATTAATAGAGAATATGCAAATTATATTATTGCTAGGACTTGTAGCATTCTATACCCATACAAGGGAATTTTCTTCAAATTGAAACTTAAAAAAAAAACAAAAAAAAATCGAATTGGGCTCAGTAAGGATAGTCAAAACAATCAAGTCTTACATGACAAAAAAGTTGAAGTAAAGTATATTTGGTTGAAAAAAATAAAGCTGAGCAAAATCAATCAAAGTTATTGTAGCCAAATTAATTATGATATTATTTGTTCGTTCCGCATTAATGCAACTCTTCCACATTGCACCTTTATGAGGGTAAAGGTATTGGATTATCAACAAAGCAATACAGGTTTTTGTGTGGTAAAAATAGAAAATGATTATCTAAAAGATAATAACACTAGACAATAAAAGTTAAGATATTTTTAAAAATTATACTTAAATATAAGTTAGAAGAATCATATCACAGTTTATGTAACGTATTCTTGGTTAACAATGGTACAATAATGATTGTTCGGTGGTGTTTATGAAGCTAAGGTCAGCAAAATTGGCTTTGTGAGGGGCACGCACTCAAAGGACAGCGTATTCTTAAGAGGTTGTTTTCGAGAGCGACAAGGCACCGATAATAATCTTTGAAAAGAAAATTATATATTTATTATTATATGTCAGCAACCAAAGTGGCTTTACGCTATACAACATGAAGAAATAACATTAGAGGTTTTCAAAAACTTGAATAAAAAACTAAATGGAAGCACATCGTTCAGTTATGTTATTCCCAAAAATCTAATTCAAGAAATAATATTCAAAGCTACACCGTAGCATGGATAGTTGATAATATCTATAATTCTATATCACTTTTTTCAAAATTCTTGCAACAAAACCACTATTGAAAAAGACCAACATGAACTGAACGATGAAAAGGAGGGAGTATCAGACTAAAATGCTGTTTAGCCGCTTGAAAATGGCTAAAACTCAAAATCCAAGAATAAAACTTAAATTTTGTTGAATGCAACAATGTCACAGCTTTGGATGTACTCGTTGCATGGCTCCACTGTGAGGCGTTCCTCAATGAGGGTGTCCACAGATACAAGGTCATCAACAATGGTCATCATGATCTGCAATTTCTTGATCCCATAACCCACTGGAACCAGTTTGCCTGCATCAATTGCAAAAAACCATTTTAGATATTCTTAAGAAAATGGATTTGGACCTAACTTAATCAGTTAACCTTACAAAACCAGCTTAAGAAAGTGAATTTGACAAAATCAATTTGTAAAATAATGATTACTTTTCACTTGTATATAATATTTTAATCATATCTCTAGTTGATGTGAAATCTCTTAGAGATATATTGCAATTTTTTAAAGAAGATAAGTGCATCAAATATGCATGAGAAAATTTGGTGAAAATTTCAACATACATGCTCCCCACAATAAACCAGGCATCTCAACACTGCGGACAGCCTCTTCCAGCTTCTTCATGTCAGTTTCGTCATCCCAAGGCTTGACATCAAGCAGGACGGAAGACTTGCCACCTATAAAATGTCAGTTAGTGACAGTTTCAAACACTTTCAGCAAGCAAATAAGATCTAAAGATAAGAAAATAGTTTGAATATGTGACAACATATCATAAATTTCAACCTATCATTCTACCATATAACAAAACATTCCTTTACCCTCCCCAAATTACAAGGTAATTTAGGTGGATTAAACAAATTCAAGAACAGCTTCGTGGACAACAAATAACAGTCAAGAGACTCTAAAAGAAAGCTTACTTTCTTTTTTCTTGGTAGACTTTTTAGCAGCCTCCCTTTCCTCTGCTGCCTTCTTATCCTCCTCTGTTTCGTCACCAAAGAGATCAAGATCATCATCATCATCAGCAGTAGCAGCCTGGTAAATTCAAATAAATCCCAGTGATCAAGTTAGTTGAGGCGGTTCAATGAGCAGCTTCAGTACAACTACAATAATATCTTGCACTTCACAATAACTAACTGTATACTATAAAGTCAAAAGTCTACATTATAACAACAACTACTCTGCATGAGCCATGGGGTATTCAGATAACTAAAGAAACTATCTCATGTCAAAAGTAAATTATAGTATTATTCAACTATAAAATGTGCTTTCAATATTGCTATCTAAGCTAATAACTGTCTCGTTCAAGAACTATACAGTAAACATGTTAGATATGAATATGGTTACAATATCAAACTCTTTTCTTTCTAACATTCAATATCAAAGTAATTCCATCCAAGTGTTCACCCAAATGGGCATAACCTATTTGATTTCAAATTCACACATTATAAAAAGAAACAGGTATTAAATGAGTAAAATATGGATGTATATTTTGAAAAGAAAATAACATTCTAATTCCTTTATCAAGTGCAAATCTAACGTTTTATTTTTTTTCAAAAAAATTTAAAACAAATTTTCTATTTTCGTCAGAGTGATATTTTTAAATTTACCGTGTTATAGGATCAAAATATTGAAAGGAAAAAATAAGAGGTGTAACAAGCAAGAAAGTGTAGGGGAAAAAAAAACTTGAGATGGATAAAAATGGCGGAAAGTTCTGCATGAATTAAAGAAGTAAACATTTTAACTATTTGCAACCATTTGAAACACATAAAAATTACCATGGTGTCATACATCATGCTGCTGCTAATTCGGATTTAATTTGATTTTTATTATATCTACAAGTTCTCTGTCATGTAAAATATAGTTCTAACTATGAATATCCAAGGTCCTCTGATGGGTAACCCATTGTTTTGGGCTTACTGGGCCTGCAGTTAGGAGCTAACAAATAAAGGAGTGGTAAGGGTAGGGTGGGAATTGGAGGGAGAGAAAGCAGTTTGAAGGGGGCATATAACAGAAAGGTTAGTTGGCAATTCATGCGTGGAGAGATGGAAGCAATTCTATATAAGTGGAGAGGGGGGTATCTTAGAGAATTGTTAATGGAATATCAGTTGAGGTGAGGGAAGAAACTTCTACCTCAGAAAAAAGGGACCCTGGGAACTTTCTTTTAGGTCTTCTACAGTTTTCTTGTAATTTTCATCACCTCTGCAAGGAGCACAGCTCCATTCCGTTACTATTTTATACTTGTTTTATGCGACAATCAGAATTTCTTAGTTTGCTATTCAACTCTACAATCATGATCCCTCAGCACAAGTTTTTTTCATTTCTATTCCATTAACTTTATGAAGTTTGAAAATCAAAATTAATGGTAAAGATTTTGCTTCCACTCTCTCAGATTGCAGGAAATCCACGTCCTATCTCTTCTACCCCACAACTAGCTGGACTCAAATTCCCTGCAGTCACAAAAGTACCTCCAGGTCCTGCTGCAGTCATAGTCCAATGCTTAAATTTATATTTATTAACTTTTTTATTTTATGAAAATAAATTTAACAGTGGAGATTCTCTGCAATTACTTTCCTGATAGCAAGGAATTGGGTCCCTCACTGCTATCTCTACATTCCTACTCCTACCGAGCCTCCACTCCCATACATTTCCCATAATCATAAAGATCACAATTGTCCCCCAATATAACTATTAACTATTTATAACCCACTAGGATATACATACACATATACAACCACTCTCAAACTCTTACTAATTTAATGATTTTTCAACTAGTTTACTGTTAAAAAAAGAAAATGATCCATCCTTCACATATTTTAATATAAATTAAGAGTCTAGTTATCGAATGCCCTAAATTACTAAAATGCTTTATGCATTTTCAATACAATAAAACTTTTTTTATTTTGAAAGAAAATAGCATAAGGCAACAAAGTATAAATAAAACTAAGGAAAGTGCATACCGCTTTGGCAGGTGCAGCTTCAGCCTTACCACCGAATCTTACCCCTTGAGCATTCCCAGGGAAGCTAATCAAATAAAAATCGAAATTTAAAAAAAAAAATCAAAAATTGGCAAAAATCAAATAATGTAAAACAAAATTGGGATTTTTCCCAGCAGAAAAAAAAAGGGGGAAATGAAATGAGAGAGGAAGAAACCTTGGAGCAAGACGGGAAGTGACAGCATGGTACCACTTGGCAGCATTGGGAAAAGAGTCACCTGGCTTTTCCACAACAGCTGCATACACATTGACATCATCCTTTGTCAATTGGTCCCTGAAATTAAAAAATTCACATACAGATTCGATCACCCAAATATCAGAAACAGTCAAAAATTGTTTTTTTTTTTTCATGCAAATTGAATAGATGTTAGAAGTGTTACCCAGAAATGTAGGTTTTGCCAGAAAGGAATTGATCGAGGGATTTGATGCCCTTTTCGGTGTGTAGATCTGAGAAGGTGATAGCCATTGATATGTGAGATTGAAGAAGGAAGAGTGGCAGTTGCAATGCAGAGAGTGAGAATCTTTCAAAATTCAGTAATTGATATTTATAGGATGCAGATCCACAGTCACAAACCCTACTGATTTCTGAAACTCACTCAATTTCACGTTCCGCTCCCACTTTCGCCTAAATAAATTCGGTTTAATATTTTTTTTTCTATAGTCCAAACTTTTTCTTTTTAATTTTTGCAATTATAAATATTTTTTCAATCTTTATGATTTATTACCAAATAGAAATTAAAAGAAAAAAATTTATGGAAGTACAATAACTAGGTTAAAATATTTTTTTTAAGTCTGTATAATATTATAATTTTATTTACTTTATTTTTAGTCTTTATATTTTTAAATGTTTTTTTAATCTTATACTTTTCTTCTTCTTCTTTTTTTTCTTTTCTTTTTTTTAGCTTTTATAAACTTTTTAGTTTCTATATTTACCGTCTACTTTAATGATTTAAGTTCCCGTTAATTTTATTTGTAATGTTGTATTTTTAGTATTTTTTATGAATATTTTTTTAGTATATATTAACGTGACATAAATATTAATTCAATCTTTTATATTTAATATCAAATTTAATTTATTAAATTTATTTTAAATTAAATATTTTGCCGCTTCATATATCTTTTGTATACTTATTTTTAATATTTATTGTTGAGACATTTTTTTTATTTTCACAAAATTAAAAATCTTTATTACATTAACACAAAATAGATAGTACTAAAAAAAATTAAGTATAATGACTAAAACATTAAAAAACTTCAAACTTAAAAATATATCTTAAATTAAAAAAGTTAAAAATGATTGAAAAAATAAATATAGAAATTAAAAATTTTATTTTAAATTATAAGAAATAATCAAACAAGTAAGTAAAATTATTGAAGACTTAAAAAATATTTTAACAAATATATATAGAGAGAAAGAGAGAGATAATCAGTCTATAAATGATAAATTAAAACTAAGATCAGTAAAAAAGTAAATCATATAATCCTAAAAGCATAGGAATAATAATATTATAATAATACCAGTATTGAAAAAGACATTTCATATTTTTATGGAAGAAAAATTATAGGTAGTTATTTTATAATGGATGAACAATTTTTTTTATAATGAATATATACACATTTTCCTATTTCATGTTTAACATATACAATAGTAGACAAAAATTATAATATAAAATAGGGGTATTATTTTAAATTTTCCTCTTTTTTTCCTGATGGTATGTCAGTATTTTAAATTATAAAATGCTTATAATTGGTTTACATTTAGTGTGATGCATGACTATAATGCTTTACTTGGGAGCAGGAGGAATTGAAAAAAAATAAAGAAGTAAGAATTTAATAAAATATCAAAAAAAAATATATATTAAAATTTATAGTTGATTGGTAGAATGAAATTATATAAGTAATAAAGGGGTTAGTATTTTAAAATAATATTTTATTTAGTTAAATTTTTATGTAAAAATAATCAATATATAATTACCATTTTACCCTTCTTATTCGTGTTTGTTTTTTAATTTATGTGTATAATGTATGATCGATTATACTATATTTAAATATGGTGATTTTTATGCATTATGCATTACTTATTAGTATAATGCATTTTTTATGGGCGAGAATTTTGTTTTAAACAATGTATTATCTATTACCATAATGCATTACATACGAGATGAAGTTTTGCTTTTTCAACCTTGGACGCATAAAATACAAAAGAAACAAATGTTATTTATGTCTTTCTTAATCATTTTTATGATAATCTCTTCATCTTAGATGACAAATTTTTAACCCATGAAACTCACCATCTTTTTTACTTAAAACTCGCTAATCCCTACAACCAAACACATGTTTTTTTAATTACCTCCTAATTAATTTCCTTTCATGAGAATTCTTTCTAAATCCATCCTATTAAACAAGGCCAAACAAGAGTTTTCACGATTCGCATTCCCATTGATTTGGTTTTAGAAAAAAACTAAACCAAATTTACTTATTAAAGTATATTTAAGTTTTATCTTAATTTGTTTTAGTTTTTGATAATAATTAATTGAATTTTCTTAATATTTTTCAATAAATTTACTCTCTAAATTTTTAAGTCCTTCCACCATTTTTATTCTGTTTAAAATTCTTGAATTTTCACGTTTTCATTTAAAATGTTCATAAGAAACAAATAAATATACTTTTATACCCAAAATTACTACTGTATTTGAGTTTAATAGATTACTCAACAAAAAATCAAATTTTAAATAAATAAATTTTAACATATTTTTTTAGAGTTTTTATTATTAAAATTAACAATTTACTGTACATAGTTATTTATAATTAAAAATACGAATTAAAAATAACTGTAGTATAACTTTTAAAATTATTATTAATCAACAATTTTACTATATGTGGTGATTTTATAAATCAGATGATACTATAGTAAAATAATTACATTGTCAATACATGTTAGTTTTAATTTTATTTGTCTGATAAAAAAAAATAAAATTTGATAAGTAATGAAGTGAATATTTCATCAATTTTACATTTGAATGTATTATTGATCTTAAGGCAAAGTTAAAATTCATAAGTTTTTATTATAGGAAGATTTATCTATATGATTATGAAGAGAAAATAAATAAAGTAAAATGCAATTTGTAGAATCTCATCGATAAATATATATAAAGTAAATATATATATTCATCATGAGATACTCAATCTCAAGGAGAACTATTTCATCATCCATTCTTCACATAAATAATTTTTTTGTTTTTTAATTTACAAAAATTTAGATTTTATTTTTTACTCAATTTTTTTTAATCATTTGGACTATTTTGCTTGATAACTTTAGATCGGACTAAAAAAATATCACTTAAAATATAATTTATTTCGAATTAAGTTGGCCTAAAAATATCAAATGATTCATGCTGGAGGTCAAGTTAAGTTAATTCAACACATTTTTCTATAAACACTAAATGGAATTTTTAAATAGTATCAAATATAACGTAAAATTATCAAAAGTCCAATAATTACAAACTAACTAAACATGGTAACCATTAGCAGAGATTGATTTGAAATTTAATTTTAAAAACATTTTACTGACTAAATTGAGGGATTATTTTTGGAAACTGATTTAGTAATTGAATTAAAGACCGGTTTTAGAAAATGATTTAATGATTGATCTTGGAAATTGATTTAACCTGTATTTAAACTAACTAAGCTACATTCATCCTGAGCAATAGAACAGTATAGACATAGTACCTATGATTCTGGTTCTAAAATGACATTTTGCACAAGTTAAGTTCAACAACATATCTCAAATTTCAATTGAGTTTTGGTACTTATGGAAAGTGATTGAAAGAGAAGAAATATAATAAGTTTCATACACAAAGTGGCATACTTAGGATCCATGACTTTTTCCATTTTAGCCTCTCGCCACGTAGCATTGGGCATACAGAAGGAATATAGTCTTGGTAATTTCGTTACTCAACCACGAAACAATTCGTTTTCATCGAAATTTTGAGGCATATATCTTGTCCCTACTTCTGTGACAATCACAGGGAGACAATGGTTTAGGGTAGTAAGCTTAGAATTTAACAAAACTAAGCCATTGAGACCAATCACAAATAATCATTCTTAAGGGGTTACTTTGGATACCCCCGTTATGCTCGAGAAATGCCATCTTGGAAGATATTTTCATGCATTGACAAATCACTTTGGACACACACTGTCTTCAAAATCTAGTCTCTTGTTGGTAAACTCGTGCTTTATTTAACTGCTACAACATGTTTTGTTACACAAAAGCTCCTTGAACCACTTCTTCTGTAATAAAAAAGTGATTGCCATGGAAGGACAAAGTGTAGTTGTGATCCATGATGCGTCTACAGAAATCAATGTAAGAGTTTTTGAATGGTCTCTACATGGCTTGTCACTCGTGCCAGGAGATATGCTCACACTAATTGCTGTCTTGCACCAGGTTATCACTCCTAGTAAGTAATCTTCCTCGGATTGCGCAAAGCTTCTAAGAAATTTATTTTATTCATACCCTCAAAATCATTTTTGGAAGAGAGAAAATGGAAAATCAAAGAACATTAATTTTCTGTTTTCACCTTTTAGTTACAAAATTACAAAATTGTCACCTTGTTTTCAATCTGTTTCTGTTCTCAAATATTTGTATAGGGGAAAACAAAAGAAAATTGTTTTCATTGTTTACTGAGATGACAATTCTGTAATTGAAAAGTGAAAAGTGAAAACAGAAAATGAAAATACAAGTAAATGGACCCTTTTAAGTCAATAAGATTTGTGGAGTAATTTGGCCATTACAACATATTCATTTCACTAATCAATTAATTTTTTGGTTCTCTTTACACCGTAATTTTTTGTAGTGGGTTACAAAAGCAGTGTAGACAGCAGGTTAATGTTTGGAGCAAACCAGAAGATGATTGAGGCAGAAGCTGCTAGAAAGAAGGAAGAATATATGAAGCATCCCGAGCTTACTCGGATTTTTAGACTATACAAATCAGAAAAGGTCATAAATACTAGTTAATAATATTTCTCTCTCTTTTTTTTTTCTTCATAACTTCACCAGGTTATGTGACCATTAGGAAGCATCAAGTATGGCTTGCATATTAACTACTAAATATTGAGAGTCTAAAAGAGATAACTAGACTGGAAAAATGGTTTTAAAAACTTGTCTCAAAATCGCACCTTATTTGTTGGTTGGTATTTCTATCACCATATACTGGTGATATTTTCTATGCGGTTGGAGGGGGTTATAATCAAAAGAATAATGAGTAATTTGATACAAAATAGTTGTTCCTGCTAAGTACGGAGTTAGCAGTGATCCAAAGGACATTTATTTAGTACATTCAACTTCCAAGTGATAGAAGTAGCAATGTAAAATTATTTATCAAAAAGTTTATAATTGTTGTCCAGTTGCTACTTTCATGTCTCCTTTGGGTGTTAACTATGCTAAAGGATGGCAGGGAAAGTAATAGGTTGCAGCCAAAACCTTTGACAATCTCTCAACAGAACAAGTTTCCACATGAATGACAATACACATTTTGCAAGTAGTAAGTCTTTATTTTGCTTTGGAACTTGGTGCAGGAGTACAATCTTATAAAGTAAGATTTATCAAACATACACTTTCTGTTTACCAAACATATGTCTTGAATGGTTCACATATCTTGTTCTCCAAATTACAATTAACATTCAATGATTTAAGCTGAACAGAAACAATAATTTGGAACCAGTGCTTCTTCAAAGTTCAAAGTACAATTAAAGTTCCTTTTAACATTGTTTTTCCAAAGTGCAATGATCAACAAGTAATAAACAGAAACAGTTGATGAAAATCATTCAATGATTTAAGCGCTCTTTTATGTATTCTTATGTAGTCCTACCACACATGTTTCACTCAAGACAAGACATCATTTCGAGAGAACTAGAAAAGAAAACCACAAACCCACTATTTTTGCAACTTATGAAACTTTACACATCATATTTTCAGGTTGGATTTAATATAGAAATGGCTACAGGCTCATCACTGAAGGCAGTTGCACTGAAATCAGCCACGAAATTAAAGGCAACTTGGCTCATACTAGACAGGTCAGATGAAATTAAACTGATAATCTGAATTATCTCTATTCTCATGGATGGACTAGGCATTCAAAAATGATATATGGGGCAAAATGTCTAATCATGCTGGTTACCCACTCAAGCACTAGCAAGTTGGCCTGGACAATACAGCTACTTAAATTGAAGAAAACATAGAACACAAGAAGAAAGATAGAATGATAGAATGATAGATAAGATGACACATACAAATCTGTGTATCGTAGCCCGTAGGTGAAGTTAAATTTAATAACCTAGTTATATAATATTTGAAAATCATACATTGGTCGAACTCAAATCTATACAAATCCATACATGTAGTGCAGCATATTTAAGAGCTTAAAATAACTTCAGGATGTGGGTAAATGTATAGAAATATACCTTTCTTTTGCTAAAACAGTAAAATATGATAACAAAATTTAATTATGAGCCTGTTTAGATACAAATTTAAAAGAACTTTTGAAAGCTTCTCTTTTAGAAAATTAATTTGTTTTTAGTAGAGAAACTCTTAAAAGTTCTTGTAAACTTGTATCCAAACATGATTCTATACCAAGTGTAAAATCCAACCCATTTTGTTGTGTGAATTATCTACAACCTCATTAATGTAGCATGCATCTGGGTGGTGACAGGAAAATGAAGAACGATGAGGAGTATTTCCTCCGGAAGCTTTCTTGTGGTATATCAAGAATAAGGCGTTTCAATAAAATTGTACGTTTAAGAGGACCACTACTACACCACCCCCAAGAAACACGACCTGGTAGTAGCACCCGTGAAACATACACCGACAGTATACCACTACCAGACACTTCAACTGAACATGATTCTGAACTCTTCAGCATTGAGAGTTTTCCCAACAGTGAGCACTTGAATACTTTTAGATTTTAGCTCATGTCATCTAGTCATTATATCAAAGATTAAATATGTTTTTAATTCATGAACTATTGTTGATTTTCAATTTTAGTTTCTAAACAAATTTTTAACTAGTTTTAGTACCTGAACTTCGTTGATTTTTACCTGTACTACCTAAACTTTTTCTCCAAGTAACATTTTTGATTCCTAGCATCAAGATTTTCTGTTTATGAAAGAGAAATGTTAGGAGTTGAAAACATATTTAATCCTAAAATTAACTTGTGATCTTTACCAGCTTCAATACCTTTAGTTGTCTTCATTTTTGCAACATTCCACTGAAGCTAATTCACATGGTGGGTGACATTATCATTTGCCTTTGTTTCATTGCATGTTTCCCTTCTGTGATCATCTAAAATAATTTCAAGTACAGCTACTAACAATCCAATGATAGGTCAAGGAAGAGATAGTCAGATGTACCAGGAACTAGGACAGACACCAAAGAGCAACCATGATGAAGGGTGCTCAACTCCTGTTCAACTGAGCATAGAAGATAAGGGCATTTGGTGTAAGCAATTGGAATGGCAGGATAAAGAACAAACAGAAAGCATACACCATGGAAAGGAGAGGGACCCAAAATTGAAAGAGAATTTAGAAGAGAAAGGTGACAGATGCTCATCTTTTGGTGGAGCTAGAAACTTTTATCTTGGACGGGCTAAAGAATATACATTGTGTGAACAGTTTTTTTGTTTGAGTGATTTTCATATTAGGAACTGATTTCAAAGTTGTACTTATATGCAATTATGCATTGTTAAGACTTGCACATTATCAGATTTTGTGTCAATCTATCCTCTCTAGTTACCTCTACAATATGATGGTAAGATTAGCCAATATTTACCACTTTCTGCCTCAATTCATAGAGTAATAATAGTGCTAAATATTATTGATTTTTATTTCACAAAATGAAAACTACTGGACTTTAGCCAAATCTATATTCTCTAACACCATCAATTGAATTATTAAACTGTATCTAGTAGCTAGTGTTCTTGAAATCCTCACATTTAAACACTTTGGTGTACAAGAAATCTCTGCCTAAACACCCCATGAATCACCATATCATTCCCATGTTGTCCTACTACTCAAAAACCGTTTACAATGTTACATTATAATAACTCCAACCAAGCACAAAAAAGGCTGCACTGCAGAAAAGTAAAAAATAAGTGACAAAATTGGGAAAGAAGGATGAAAGATTTATGATGTTGAAGAACTTGAGTGCAATTATAGCCTATAATTACTTTAGTTTACAAGATTCTTGCTTGAAAATAAGAAAATGAGGAGATAGAGATTGAAACTTACTACTTGATTTCATTTCATTGAAACACTGGACCTGATGATTTGATTCTAGCAGCTGAAGAATTGTTGCATCAGCTTGCAATTACAACCTCAACAAATGAAGAACGGAGGAAGAAAACACAACAATTATCAACGTGGAACTCAAAATGGAAACAACATCCTCAAAGACAAAGATGAAAGAGACACCTTAATCTACCAAAAACCTGAGTAATAGCACAGCATAGCATAGCAGCGTTGAATGTCTCCACTTGTTACGTCACATTAGTCCGAATTCGATATTTACAACTAATGTAAACTTGGGAAAAACCAGCCGTTTCCAAGATAAACATTAACAAAATACAATGAACATGTCAAATTCTCCTCTAATTCTACAAATTCTCTTCCATAAATTTTACTTTTATTCTTTTTATTTTCTTCCATCTAAAATTTCCATCTTTCAATTTTAAATTAGGGAGGATATTAGATTAAGATTTCAATATATTTTAAAAGATTTTTATCATAAAAAATAAAAACATTTTTTAATTTTTAATTAAGACTTTTTTTAATATAAAAAATTATGTAGTATTTAAGATAATTCAAAATTTCTGATGGGATTCAATTAAACTTAAAAAATGTCTATTGATATTTAAAAATATGAAGATTTTAATGAATTATTTTGAATAATCTCATAAAATCTTTTGAGATTTTGCATTGACTTTTTTCTTTTTCGATTTTTATTCTTTCTTTTTCTTTTCTTTTTCTTAAACATTTTCTTTTACCTTTATTTAGTAGTGACCTTATCACTAAAAAATATTAAAATTTAATTATTAATTAATAATAAATTAAATGTAGGACTAAAATTTTATATTTTCAAAAATTAGAGACTAAATGTCCTTATTTTAAAATAAGGAACGAATTGTGTATTAACAAAAATAGAGAAGACAAAAAATATAATTTAGCCATTTTTTTCTATTTTAATTTTTCATTTTCATTTTTATTTTTAAATTGAATTTCAATATTTAAAAAATATTTTTATCGTTATATAAAATATTTATTATAAAATTAAAATATAATTTATATGATTAGATTGAATTTTTATTTTATTATTTCAGTTTCTTCCATGTAAAAATTTGTTTTATTTTCGTTTTTATTGTTAAATTGGTGTTAAATTTAATAAAAAAAATTTTAAAAAAACTATAGTGATCAAAATAGAAAAGAATTAAAACAACAAAAAAAAATAGAAAAGAATTAAAATAAAAATAACTAAAATTTGAGAGGATCAAAATGAAAATAAAAATAAAAATTAATAGGATTAAATAGAAAATGATTAGAATAACTAAGAATATTTTAATTTTTTTTGTTCTAATGCATTCATTATAATTTTTTTTACCATTTATTAATGTATTTATTGTATTTAAAGATTTAAATTTTATAAATTTAGTTCAGATAAATATTTATTTTCTATAAAAAAATTGTTTTAAATCATATTTACATAAACTAAAAAGTTATTTAAGCTTGTTTTAAAAAAGGATGATTTCGATCTTGTACAGTTGTACATATTTAAGGACTTTTTTATTTTTTAATGAATTTTTTAAAGAAATTTTTTAACTTCTCAACTAATTTAATTTTTATTTATCATAATTATTTATAAATTAAATTATAATTTTAAAAAAATTATTAATAACTACAAATAATATTAGACTACAATTTAAATTGTTTATCATAAATATAAAATATAATTTATATGTTTAAATATCTATTTATACATATTTTTAATATAATTTATATATTGAAACATAATATGTATTTATATATATAACTTATTATAAATTTTATTTATATATAATAAATATTTAGCATGTATATTACACATGTTAAAACATTATTACAATCTCTCTTTATATATATTTGAATACATAAATTATATCATATTTTAAGTTTATAATAAATAATTATATTGTGACTTATAATTTTTTTTAATTACTTATAATTTATTTTGAAAATTAAAAATTATTTGAAAACAAATATGATAAATAATACATATTTAGTAATTACATGAACTAGAATTAGAATAACAAAGAGTGATTACATGAGTTTTATCTATTCAATTTATTTTATTCTCTCCATGTAAATTAGAAAATCAATGAAGAATGAAAGTATTTTTTTAGATATTTTTTTAATGAATATTTTAGTTATTTTTTTGGAGTGATTTTAGGAATTTTTTAAACCATTTTATCTTTTTTAATAATATATTTTTATTTATAAGTTATATTTAATATTCAAAGGATTTCACTTCTTTAAAGTAAAGGAAACACTTTAGAGGATAAAGTACAATAATAATTATTAATTAAAAAATTAAAGATGAAGAATTATGATAAAATCAAATATATATATATATATATATAATGAATTTAATATACTATATATAGATTACTTTAGAATGAAGTTTTTGAATATAATTAAGAATCAAGTTAAGAATGTTCAAATATTTTTAAAAATTAATATTAAAACCTATAAATATATAACAAAAATAAGAGAGATGCCATAATATAAATATACTATGACTTTAAATAAATAAGTAATTTTCTTCTTCTCTAACTATAAAAGAAAAGTGCTATTATTAAAAAAGAGATTCAAATCCTCTAAAATGAAAAGAGTGCACAGTAAAGAATAAAATGTACTTACAACTATAAAATTGAATACATATATAATATAATTTAAAATTAATTATAATATATATCATTAATTCTTTAATCAATGATTATTGTTGAACTTTAGAAAAGCCAAATCCTTAAAATAAATTACAAATAATTTTGTATCACAATAAAATTATTGTCTTTTTCAACCTTTGTTGATTTGTTATAGTTTTTTTTTAAAAGACACCTTAAAAGATTGAATCACTAAAATTAATCTATTGGTGAGATGTTAAAATAATATACATAGAGTCTTAAGTTTAAATCTTGTTCTTGTTATTATAATTTTTGTAGATAAAAAATTTATCACACTAAAGTCTAAAATGAATGAGAAAACGGGTTTTTAAAACCTAAACCGTATTTTGTTGAAGGGGATGAGAGAGGCGAGTTCACATTTCATGTTAGGATATTATTGAAAAACAATTCAAAATCAAAATCTCTTGTTTAGATTTAAAATGATTTTGTTTTATCTGATTTTATTTTATCTTTGAGATATTATTTAGAATTAAGATATTATTTTTGTTTTAAGAATTTGTTTCATTTTATAATATTAGGATAGAAAGTTAATAAATAGAGACTCTTAACATAAGAAAAATTATTTATAAAAAAGGTTACCATCATAAATGAGAGATGAGATTATATATCTAAAGAAATTTCTTAAGTTTTGTCAGAAAATTTGTAGGGTGTGTTTTTCAAGTTTTGCTAAAAAACTTATAATGTAGTTTGAGATAATGAATGTTTATTAAGATATTAATGTTGGAGTTCAAATAGTATGAAGTGAGTCTCACATTAGTTAAAGTTAAATATGTTGAATAGTACATACGCGTGAGAAAAATTGACCTACCTAATGACCTTAAGATTTTGAGTTATAATGTGATGTCAAACTCATTTATATACTTTACTCACTATCCATTGGTTAAATCAAGTGACTAGTGATCAATTATGATGAGTATATTGACCAATAAAACTACTGATGGATCTAAGAGTTGGTTCCTTATAGCTAGAGCAATGGAATTGATAAAAGATCTAGAGTGAGATTATCTCTTGTATTGAAAGTCCTCCTAGAGTGTAGAAAACATGTTCCATTAAAGTGTGTCAATTGTGATACAAATATATCACCATTGAATACTCATTGACGAAAAAAAACTTCTATTTAATGGAGAGTATGATCATGTAAAAAAGATTCACATTTGAAGGAGAGCATTAGAGTTGAAGTATGCAAAATCTCACATCGTATATAAGTAAGAAGAATTCACCTATCTAATATCTTAAGATTTTGAGTTATGATATGATGTTAAACTCACGTTAATAATTCAATATCCATTGTATATAATGTTTCTTAGTGTAAAACTCTCCTATAATTGACATAATCGTAGATATGAATGATCAAATATATAAAATGAATTTGTTTATTTTTTTTTTCATATTTCTTTATTATATTTTCTTTTTTATGTGTTGTTTCTTTATTATGCATAAAGTGAAGCTTTTTTTGTTTTCAGCAGTGATATTAGGACTCATGGATTTGAAACTTGAAAGTTAAGTGGCGTACTCCGTAGGTGGTAGCCAACGATAATATATTTAAGTCCCTGCAATAGTTCCAAAGTGAAGACAAGAAACACTCAAATGCTTGCATAGCTGAAACATAATGCAAAATTATGATGATGGACATCCATGACAGCCAGAATTGTAGATGGAAATTTTAATCAAGAGATGAATTGTTGGGTAAAAAATTTTAATTTTGAAATCTAATTCTTCAAGATGTCGTGTAAATTCAAAAATATGTTACATTATCTTCAAGATATTTTTTAGAATTAAAATATTATTTTAATTTTAAGAATTTGTCTTCTTTTACAATGTGAATGC